TAGAGGTGAGGAGAATATTTTGACTTTGCACTCGCTTTGTCGTATCTGTTTGAGTTTGAGTTTCTGCGTAGGAATAGTGATAGCTTCGATAGACTATTTTCGAATGCTTCTCGCGAAGGTTGTAGGACGTAGTTGGGAATTTTGTTGAGTCGAATAATAGTAGCAGTTGTTGATGAATCGTTTCAATTATGAGAGGAATGAATCGTAAAGTTGCACGAACTTCATTTATTGGTTATAAGCTTTGAGTGATCGTTGGTGATGTGTTTGGTATAATGATTGTTATTATCGGCGAAGTATTATTTTGAAAAGTGGTTTGTTTGAGGAAAATCAGCACTGACCAAGTCGTCATTCTTGCTCAGTGTACATTTGGACGAGCAAAAGAAGAAAGTTTTAGCGATGTTCATACTATTTCTGAAGAATATGGGTCTTGACGTGAAGGTGAGTGATGCTGGAGATGGATATTTCTGAGTTTTTGTTTGGTTTTGACGGTGATAAGTAGGCAGCGATCATTTTCTGTGTTGATTTCATGAAATTTTTTAGTGGTTTCTTTTTAAAAATAGTAATGAAGATGAACGAAATGAACATGTTTCAGTGGGACACAACAGTTCAGTCACGATTATCGAACTCAAGAAGCGCGCGATCTCAGCTGGCCGAATTAACTGAAAAAGTTGATATCGCCATTGCATTGTATAATTGGTGTCAGGTAAGTAATTGGGTTGAATTCTTAATAAACATTTTGATTTGCTAATTTCATTTGAAAATTAGTTGATCGAATGAATACTTAAAATTAGATTGTGACAAGAATTTGTATCATATGAACATGGATAATTGTTTGTTTCAATTTTTAATAGGTTTAATAGTTTATTCAGCAATTTGTCATATGAAGTTGTGGTTGAATTATACGAAGATAAATTCACTTTCAGACTCAAACAGTTCCCTATTTTGATGCGGCCGTCAATAGGGTGTTAACGCAACGCGATGAATCGATGACATTTGATCTGCTGACACCATACGATCACTTCTTCCATCGAGTCAGTTGGTTTCTTTATAATTTTTATGCTGTTCCAGCTTTGATATTTATTCTAAATGGAATTCATTGTTGTTGCAGTTCTGCTTGCTTTTATCATCCTATAAGTATAATATTACCATGCGATCCTATGAGTATTATATATTATCATTTTCTAAGTATTATTTTGACTTATGTTGTGACCTGTCTTCGTTCTCAATGTGAGAAAAAAAGTGCATGTCTCCCTATACTGGGCAAACCTTTTGCATCTGGCTGATCGAGCAGCCTGGTCAGTGGTTTATCAAATCTCGTTTGTGGCCAGTCTGCCCATAGGCAGGCCTATTTACGTTTCTTGCAATCCATTGATGAGATCCAATGCAATCCTATAAGCACATATGAAATTTATTATATAATGATTGAAATGCTGAAAGTGCTTATGGTAAAGATAATGGCA